CTTTAGACTGATCAATAATCATACAATTAAGAAATCATGCAAAAATTAAAGAAATTTTTAAAGTTATTTTTGCTTCTTCTTTTTCAGTGTTTTTCAGTGAAAAAATTTCAAAAAATTGAAAATAAAAGTGGGAATTTTTTTTTTTTGTATTTAAATAGACTTTAATGTTTCTTTTTTTTTTTCTATAAAATTTCTGCAACTTTTTTCTGTTTTTTTCGTTTTTTTTTTTTTGAAATTCTATAGATGTTTATCAATTATCTGGTTTTTGTTTTTCATGTTTCTTCTACTGCTGTTACCAAAAGTTATATAAGAAGTTATATGAAAAAAATGTTGGATTCGCTAAAAGAGAAGAACTGAATTAGAAAAGATTTACGAAATTTTGCAGCGACGCTGATATCGTCGCTGAATCTGACTGCTGCTGCTTTATTGGTACGGAACACTGAAGGAGGGGGAAACAGAAATAAAGGCAGAAGTTTAATGTCATCAGTCATATTTTAATTTTTTTCAACAATTTCTGTCATAAAATTAAGAAAGAAAAAGTGAAAAAAAATTGTTTTTTTTAGTTTTACAGTGTTTCACTAACACTCTTTTTTTGTTTTTCCTTATTTTTAGCCTATTTAAAAATTTGATTACTCTTTTTTCGTCCTTTTTTCTATCACAAAAAAAAAAGCAGTCGACAAATTATTTTGCATATTTTTTTTTCGTATTTTCTTCTCCTCTCAAACTTTCATCTTTTAACCTGTCAAAAAACTAAAGATATTGATGCTCAGCAAAGCGCAATTCTTCAGTCTCTTTGAGTTTCGATCAAATAGAAGAGAAAGAAGGAGAAAAAATTCATAAACTTATTGAATACAGAAGAAATACGGTAAATTACAAAAGAAGAAAAATAAGTTAAATTTAATAAACTTTAAAGTATTTGTTTTTCAGTTTTTTCTGTAGATAATTCTGGCAAATTATAGTTTCATAGATGGTCATTGAATACAAAAGCAGAAGGGTGGGGAGTTGGGAGGGAAGGGAGGAATTGAACAAATGAAGTATACAGAGAATCGTTCTTGGAAAACCATAAATTTTGTCTTTTTCATCCCTTTTTCTTCCAAATTTTTCAAGCAATCAGATGTTCAATCTGGCTAAATATACCTAATAATGACACAAAAAATACATGATTACTATTTGCAGTAAAAAAAGAAAGAAGTGAAGAAACTATACTATTATCAAAGCCATTTTTTCTACTTTGGTTAACCCCGTAAATTATCAGCTAAAAAAAGAAAAAAAAAAAAGAGTTGATATCAATTGTCGATTATTTTTTTTCTTTATTGAAAGTTAGAAAAAGATTTATATAGATACTTACAGCTAAAATTAAAGTCATCACTGCAGTAATTTTAAAGAAACAACGTTTCATGTGAGTGTTTTTGCCAAACTGCTTTCCAACACCAAAAGGAAATGCACACATTTGACGATACGATAACTGCAAATCACCATTATTAAGAATCAGAAAAAAAAAAAAAGAAAAGATTTATAGAAAAATTTTTTTATTAGTACTTAACAAAAAAGAAAAAAATGTTCAGTAAACTGTAAAGAGTATGCTTTCATTGACAGTTGTCATCATCCTCTTATCATCATCGCCATCATCGCCATTGTAATCTTCTTCATCATCGTCATCATCATCATCATCATCGTTGTCGTAATTTACAGCAACAATATTTGAAAATTCTGTTGATTTTAGTTGTAACAACGAGTTCAAACAGAGGTTAGTTTTTTTCCTGTCAAGTCAAAATTTATAAATAAAATTTCGTTAACAGTCTTACTTTTTCAAAGCTTCTCTTATAACCTCAACTACTAGTAAGCAGTGCACTAAGCAACATTTCGACGACAACAATAATATAATAATAATAGTGATAATAGTAATTAGAATGATAATTAACAGTACCATTGTTCTTAAAGTGGTATCGGCTCATCTGTTTTATAGACTTTTGAACAGCGGTTCTCAGCTGTACCATTGGCGACAGTTTAGACGGTGAATAAAAGTCGACCTTTTTGCTTGGGCCACCTTTTCAGATGTTTTTAGAAGGTAATCATCACAAATGTAAAGTTGTTAGCGAAAAATATAAATTAATAAACAAATTTTTTGGCATTTATTTTGTACTGTTTCAAACTGTTTACTAAATTTCATAATTACTTTGATACTGGCTTGAATCATTTCTTCTTTTATTGCTGTTCCTTTTTTTAAATTAAATTTTATTTCAACTATTTTCCTGTACTAACTAACAACAGTTAAAATGATAAATTTTCTATGTGCAAATTTATCAATTGTGTTTTTTTTTAAAGTCTTTAATGAAACTATTGCATCTTTGAATGTTACCAAAGATTCATATGACCTGGAAGTCGACTATTCGTCAAGGAATTTAATAATTGCATTTCTCGAGTAAGTTTTTTTACCTAATTTTTTTATATTGCTTTTTTTTTTTTTGCAAGTTTGAACGTTACACCAAATTTATATTATCAATATAGCTTTTTTAGTCTTATTTTCAAGCAGAGTATTTTGTTAATAACATTTCTTGCTTTCGTTTCATAGAAAAAATTGAAGAGTGACAGTTACTTTAATTGCATTTTAAACTCTTTGTATCAGATATATCACTTGTCAGTGAGACGAAACAACTGAGGAGAAAACTTAAAAGCTTTTCTTGAGACAATACGCATCAGATAAAATTTCAGGATTTTTTTATACCTACTCTTAGCTGTTGTCATCGTTACAGCTGGTATTTGCTACAGCAAAGTTCTGTACAGTTGTCTGTGCTCCTGTCGTAAACGAATATGCCCTTCATCAGATGTAACAGACGAAAGGAAGAAGCGACCACCAAGTGT